ATCTACATGCCAAGTTTCAAGGCTCACAGTACCAATTTCCACAGTCAAAAGCCCTATTTGATCCACAGTCAACTGCAGGGGCAAAATGGTCATTTTGCAGTCAAAAGTCAGAATTTTTGGTCAACATCTTATTTTGAGTTCACAATCATCATTTGATCAAGTCTTGATCATGATTCCACAAGGATAGCTCAAAAATCATCAAGATGCAAAAAGTTACTATTTTTGGACAGCAGAAAAGTCAACTGTATCTTGACCAGGGAATAACTTTTTCATGGTTCATCATAAAAATCCCATCCAAAGCTCATTTTGAAGGGGATGACATTTCCTACAATCCATCTTCACACTCCAAGCCCAAGAAATTCTCTCATAAAAAGTTATCAATTTCTACATTATAGGTCAAATTCAACAGTCAACAAAAGTGCACTTTAAGTCAAAGACCATAACTTTATATTGGTAAATCCAAATGACATGGGACCAAAGGAATTGGTTAGAGGACTTCAAGACCTTTCCAAAATATCCAAGAACATGTTCATATGATCAAAATTGAGCAAGATATGCATTGGAGAAGTTGGGAAATGTTTGTGAATTTGCAAAAGTCAACTTTGCTCAAAACACCTTATTTTTGCTAATGGGCTTCAAATCTCTTCTTGAAACTTCATCCATGGCCTATGCACGACCCATCAAGCTTAATTGAATTTATTTTCTTATTTTTATTAATTAATTGGATTTTTAATCAATATTAATTCATTTAATTAATTTAAATTGTAGGAAAATACAAAGATTTGGTTTTTCAATCTTTTTGTGAAGCAAATATGGTCAAGATATGCTGGCAATTTCGTGTACAAATCAAAGATGCAAAAATCTCCAAAATTGGCAACTTTTTCCAATCATGAAAATGCAAAAAGATTTGATTTTCAATCAAATATTCAATCATCATTGCAATGGATTTTTGTGCAAGATTGTGACCTAATTTCATTCCTCTATAAATATGCAAGCTAACCCTGATGCCACACACGTGAGAAAGCTGCAGAAACAGACCCTAGCATATTGAAAAAAACTCAAGAAAATTGCAAACTGACTTTGGCTTTTGAGGGCGATTCAAAAGGTTTTATTGGTTCTAATACATTGCAGGAGGTCCCAGGGATAATTTGCAATCCAATTCAGACCTTAAAGCTAACAGAATCGATACCTACAGAACCACGGTTTGCTTTTTATTTTCAGAATCGTATAGCTCGATTCATGCATATTTAACATGATTTCTTGTTTGTTTTGCATTGCTAGTAATCATATGAAGCTGATGGTATAACTGAATTGGATTAAAACGGCATAAATCAAAAGTTACCATGGACGATTTCTAGGGTTCCTGAGCTTTGGATTTGGGGATTCCTAAACTAGGAAAAATTGAGACCACTAAGGCACATGATTGGAATCCTGAGAACCAGACGAATTCAAATCACCCATCGCGAAATATTTATATACCCTGTATCTCTATTCGCTATTTTTGGTCACCATGTTTTGTGGGGGTTAAAAACCCCCGCTATCTAATATGTTTTTACAGGTATCAGCGAAGAAGATGACTAGGTGTTAGCCTCCCGTTGGTTAATTCAAAAACACGCGCGTTTTGTTTTGTTTTCAGCATATTCGTTTGTTTTCTTATATGATCATTATTCTTTATTTTATTAAAGAATGGAACGCGTTGGTTGGAGTGGTTAAGGCAAGCATCCAATGAGCTTTGGGACCTGGGTTCGAATCCCAGGTCCCCCCAAAATATTTATTCTCCTTTTTCTTCATGTAATCATATGCAGGGCTCAAGAGTAAGTCCATCGTGCATCTCAAACATCAGCATGCCATGTGTCTCCAAGCTTGAATCCTGTAGCCATGAGATGATAATCATCATACGCCCAGTCAACCATGCGCCTGGACAATCACCAAGGTCAAAGAGGCTTGCAGTTAATGGGCCTGCGAATTACCAAACTTACCTCCTAATGGGCCAACCCCCCCCCCCCCCCCCCCCCCCCGGGTTCTTTTTCTTTCTTTCTTTATATTTTTTATTTCTTCTTTCATTAATTATTTATTATAATTATTATTATTACTATTTAATTAACCAAATTAATTATTCTCATAATAAAAATCAGAAAACTAAAAAATGTAATATTTTTTTATTATTATTATTATTTATTAATTTCACCCTTAGTTTATTATTTTTGTAAATAAATACTAATATAACTAATTTAGTTTAATTAGGTTTAATTTTAACTTTTTCACAATAATTTAAAATAAATTATAATTAGGGTTTCTACTAACTTTTGACTATTTTTTATTTATTTCTTTAAAACATAAAAACCAAAAATATTTCTTTTAATTAATTAATTAGTTTTAGGTTTAATTTAATTAATTGCAAAATAATAACAAACTTCTTTCTTTCTCAAAAAGGGGTCAAAACCCTAAGGACTTCTCCGATTCAATTTTTTCGCGCATATTATTATTTTTTTATTCCATATTTATGTAATTGCTCCGAAGATGTAATAGCTTTAATTAGGACTCTTTTATCGCTTTCATTTAATTTCTCGCAATTTACTTTTTCCAAGGGTTTGTTTTTGGCGATGTAAATACCCGACGCCTTGTAATAGCGTAGATTTATTTTCCGCAACTATTAACTGTTAGATGTATGTTAACTAGGCTATGCATGACAAGACTTATCTCTGAAATTAAAATCAACCCGTAGCTCACCATAACATGTGCAAAGATAACTTAACTGAATCCTGACACACTCGCACATGTCACTCCTAGGGTACGCCTCACTTGGTTGCCTCGACGTGGTCATTGAGTATAGGGTGTTTTAGAGGTCGCCCTCCTGTCTAAAGATCCAAGTTGCCTCGAAACGGTTGTCTCGGATAAAAAGGATCTAGGACATTAGGGTTACCGCTAAGGCGTCCTACTATTGCTTTGGTGACCACATGTCCCTATAATCGAATTGACCCGAAAAACTCCAACGACGGTGCTACCTACTTCTCAATAGTGGGATAGTACTGTCTAAAGGACATTTACACAACTTAATTTCTTTTGAGTAGGTAGAGGTTCTCAGGTACTTGCTCTTTCAAAAAAACAAAAATACTTTTCGCACCTACACTTTTCTGACAAAAGTTTTCAAACAAACACTTCATACACTCTTGAGGACAGATACAAGAGTTAAGTCGAAGTTTTCAAACAAAACTTTTTCAAAACCCACAAACACAAGAAAAGCAAACTCTTTTGAAAACATAGTGAGCAAGTACCTAAGAGCCCATGGATAACCATGGATAGAAAGGGTGCTAACACCTTCCCTTTCTATAATCTACCTCCCGAACCGAGAAACATCTCGAAAAGGAATTTTGCTGTGCTTTTGTCCTTTCCTTGTTGGAGAAAATAAAAGACGGTGGCGACTCTTGCTTACCGCGATATTTCGCGAACCAGCATTAAAAACAGTCAGTTCTATTTCCACCGATCATAATGTCCAGGAAAGAATTTGTCATGACAGAAAAAACACAAGTTTTGAGCCCTATGTTCCTCCATTTCTTTCGGAGAAAGTTTTTTCTGAAACGTATATGTCGGCTTTCCCAAAATGCTCTTTTGAGAACCTTCGATATTTCCTTTCTTCTCCTGAGGCATCACTTTCTTGTCAAAGGTGTGAGAAACGGTATTCTTCTTCTCACTCCAAGAACCTTGTGTTCGATTTGCAGGCCCCAACTATTTCTGTAACAATTCCAAACTTCGTTCTTGCAACTTTGCCATACGAGTAGCTTCCAACAACGTTCGTGGAGCGAACATCTTCACACCATTACACAATTCCTGTTTAAGGCCTCCCAAATAGCATTAGAGCTTTTGAGATTCCATCAACGCTGTTCTACCTACAAGATTGTCAAACGATTCCTGATACGCCTCCAGCGAACCAGTCTGTACCAATTTCTTGATTTCTTCCATAGGCGAATCGAACTCGAGGCTAAATCGCATCTTCAATGCCTCGGTGAAATTCTGCCATGTCAATTGGCCATTCGATCCCTGTTCTAGACTTTGGAACTAACGAAAAGAGTTATCATCAAGAGCGATACTCGCAACCGAGACCTTGTCCCCTTCTTGCGTTCCATCCAACAAAAAAAACGTTCACATTTTGCAATCCAAGATTCGACATCGTCGCGAGTGAATTTTGGAAAATCCAGACGCGTTAATCGTGTTGCTGGTCGAGTTGCTCCGTCGTCGTTGCCACCATGGCGACGCGCCGCCGTTAACTCCGCCATTTGCAATCCAATTCCGCGCATGGCTTCTTGCACATTGGTGAATTGAGTTTCGAAACGGTTCTCTAATTCACGAATTTGCCTCGTGATACATGGCTCCACCGCCGTCATTATGCGTTCCTCCGCCTCACGAATGGCGTTCCGCATTCGCATCGCTTCTGCCATGAATGATGTGGCCGAGGTCGACAGGCTCTAGATACCAATGATAGGGGAGAGAGGGAGAATATAGAGAGAATAGAAAGTAGAGATGAGGAAAAAGTATTTTTATTTATTCAACAAAAGCATACATTAGATGGTTATTTTCTAACTATATATAACTGTCTAAGTAGTTATAACAACCCAATACAACTAATAACAGCTGTATACACTAATACATGCATCAGAAAGTTTGTCTACTGTGTTAATGTATTAACCCTCCACGTTGACTTTTGAATTTTCCTTTGATTAAATAGCAAGTCATCAGCCTCATCATTCTGCTACATAATTGTATTTTATCATAACATTATATAATAATCCAAGTAAAACCCATGTGGTTTTGTATGATATGGTACTAGCTAGTATCTTTCAACATAGTGAATACATATAATATAAGTTTACAAACAAGAACCTAAATTTTACCACCCAACAACAACAAACATGCACAATCAGTCACAGGTCAGTTCATAAGTATAGACAAAGTCACAAAAACTTTACTCTCTCTCAGTCGTAACCTACATCCATAGAAACAAACTACTTCTCCATTCCTTTTGCATTGGCAATACTAATGATATACTCAATCTCCTCGGACACCTCTTTCATCGAAGGTCGATTCTGTCTCTTCTCCTCCAAACAACCCAAAGCCAAAAACGCCAATGCCTTCATGGTATCAAGCTCTATATTACTAGCTCCATTCTTCAAAACAGGATCAATGACATCAAACACTTTCTCTTCATCCATCATCCTTTGCACATAAACTGCTAAGTTCACATCATCAGAAGCCCGGTTAAAATCTATTGCCTTCTGAGACGTCAGAAGCTCGAGCAACACAACTCCAAAACTATAAACATCACTTTTATCGGTTAATTGATAGTTTCGATAATACTCAGGATCGAGATACCCGAGTGTCCCTTGAGCACAAGTTGAGATATGACTCATATCTGTTTGAGCCAACCGTGATAACCCGAAATCCGAAACCTTAGCATTCATCTTGAAATCTAGAAGAATGTTACTTGACTTAACATCTCTATGGTAAATAGGTGGCACTGCCATGAAATGAAGGTAAGCAAGACCTTCAGAAGTGTCGCGAGCAACGCAAAGACGATGGTTCCAATTAAGTGATGCACGTCCCTTTGGCATTTGACCTGTATTAGAGATAAAGTTAGTTAAATTAGTTATCTTGTTACCTTCTTCATTTTCAAATGAACTTGTGTGTATCAATAAATGAGATATTGAACAGTTACCTGTTAAATGATCAAGAAGTGTTCCATTTTCTATGAACTCATAAACCAATATCGGTTGTTCCAATTCAACGCAGCAACCCAATAATCCAACGAGGTTTCTGTGGTTAACTTGGCATAATATGCGAACTTCGTTAAGGACTTGATCCGTGCCTTTTGGGTTTCCAAGCTTAGCACATTTGACAGCTACGGTTGTACCGTCTTGAAGAGTACCTTTATAGACTTCACCGTAGCCACCAACACCGAGGAGTCGGTCGGCGGAGAAGTTGTTTGTGGCCTTTCTAATTTCTTTGCCGGTGAAAAGTTTGGCTGCTTTTCCTCCACCACTTGCGTTTAGAATTCCTTCACGCTCTTTGGCCAGGCGCTGTTGTGCTTCTAATATGCGTCTATAGCGTTTGTAGAAAAGAATGGCAATTGTTGCTAGGATGAGTGCAGCTCCAACTCCACATGCTGTACCTGAAGTAGTATAGTTGCCATCAAATTTAGTGTGTAAACACAAAATAGCCCAGCTGGTTCTGGCTGTATGAAAAAAGTGTGAATTTCAAAACAAAAATGTACTGTTTATAAAGTTCTGTTTCATACCCTCTGTTAATTTGACCAGTTTTTTTAAGTCTTAATTATGTAATGTAATTTATGTCAAACCTTACTTTCTTTCAACTCTCACAAGAAAGGGAAAGGCGTGAAATGTTGTTGGATTCCATGTTGGGCTATTTATGTTTGACATGTCTGTCTACCTTCTAATCCAAAATCAACTTAAATAAGTCAACTCGTTTGGCAATGTGTTAGCTGGATACACACAAGGGTCATATGCACAACTAAAAAGTTATTTCTAATCATTTTTCTATCAAACTTGCCATTAATATGTTACTCCATCCTTATCTAATTATAAATGATCTAAGAATTTTAAAATTTAGTTAGGGTGGCAAAGGAGTCCGTTCTCACGATATATCAGATTTATCCATTTTTTTCTTCAACTGCTACATAAATGTAAAGTTTTGTTTTTGCATCTTTAATCTTTAAAGGTGTAGAAGGTGTAGTATTCGCGGACTTTCCCCACTCTCATATTTTGCGGGACAAAGAATTTTTGTCTCACTCTCAATTATGACCACCCATATCCCCTTATATGTACTCTTTTCATAACAAATTATAAATAAATTTTGTTTTTTAAATTCATTAAATAATTGATATATTTGATTTATATTTATTAGATATATAAATAATTAATTCAACGAATTAAAAAAAAATTACTTATAATTTGTTACTGGTGGATTAATTATTATTTAACTCCTAAAAATAGAAAGGAGAAAAAAGTTTGAAAAACTAAAGCACCATACCTGCTATTATTGCTGTCTTATTGTTGGAGTCGTCACAGCCATCAGGATTGAAGCAAGTAATTTCTGCATCCAAAGTCAAACCAAAATTAGTCAAACATCCACCAAACCAGAGACGAAAAAGGAAAAAGAAAAAAAGAAAAAAGGATCATAATCCTCTACAACTCACTTTTAGTACACACCCCTTGAACGGGGTCCCACACAAGCTCTCCATTACAGAAACACCTCTTGATCCCAATACCCGATGAAGCATCTACCCCACAAGTCGACGTGGCAGCATCACAATCTTTCTGTGACCCACAGACAGTTTCTCTAGGCGACATCCACTGAATCTCCAAACCCGGTCTAGACCACCGGCTCACAGAAAGAGTCGTGTCAAGGTTCACAAAACTAGAGTAAGCGCTACAACCCGAGTCTCTAACACGGATCATGTAAGAGTTACTCGAACCACCGGTTCGGTAAGTGCAGCAAAGCGGACCGGTCTGGCAGGCGGAAACAGAAGCGGTGGCGTTGATGTAAGCATGGCAAGCGCTCGCGGCGGAGCAGTTGAGCGGTGACTGGAGAAGTTCGAGTGTGCAGTTGAGGTAAACGATGGTGTTGGAGCTCGTGATGTTGAAGGGGAGAGTATTATTGAGTTGGATTCCTTGGTGGATTTTATCGGTGGAAGTGCATGTGTTGGGGATGAGTGGAGCGGGTTGGATTACGAAGCGTTGGGTTCGTGGGTTGATGGATTCGATAGGGTAGGTGTTGTTTAGTGTGTCGAAAACGAGTGAACCGGAGGAGGTGCAGCGGATTTTGTATAACGGGTCACCGCATGTGGAGGTGGTGCTGAGTGGAAAGGGTACGGTGGTGTTGCCGCATGGTGGGCATGGGGTGGCGGAGAGCACGTGCGTGGCGCATGTTAGGAGGAGGAGTGACGCTGTTAGAAGGAGGAGGCTTGTTGTATACTTCATTGTATGCACAATGTTGCTGATTATTGGTGTGGTTTATTTATATAGCGTTCAAAATAACTTTTTTTTAAAGATTATTACACATAAATTAAAATATAATAATTGAATAGATAAATGTAACAATTTTATAGAATTATATTTAATTATTGCTATAAAAGTATATTATGATTTGATATCTTATAAATAGTGTAGATAATATTTATTAAGAGTATAATTGTTAAAAATTAATTAATGTAAAATATAAAATGACACTTATTTTAAGATAAATTTTTTAGATTTAAGAGACACTTATTTTGAAACTTGTCAACAAAAACAAGTTGAAGTAGAACGATAGTTCAAATAGTTCAACATTTTTATGACAAATATATAACTCAATTTTTTTGTGTTCTTAAGGTCAATTGTACAATGTGAACTGTGAAGACTAGCTATTACTTTATTGGCGGCTTACGTGAAGTTGTCTGACAAAAGTCAAAAATATCTTATTTTAACCTTTTGCTATTTTATAAGTTTTAAAAACCGGATTGAATATCAAATCAGAAAGATTTTCAGTTCAAGATAATCAATTAAACCTACTGTAGAATTAAATTCTAAATTTTTTGAATAAATAATATATTCATAAATTTTTAAAATAAATATTTTAAAAATCTATTATAAATTTAATATTATGAGATAAATGTTAAACATAATTATACGTTTAAAAAAATAAAACTATAATATAGTGTTATAATTTAGAAATGTGTGTTACTTTATTGTGAATCAAAAATATTTTAATTATTAATATTAACATAATCATAATTTTTAAATTTTTATTAAAAAAATATTAAAGTTGGCTAAAAACAAATATTTTTTAAATCAGACGATTTTACAAAATTGATTTTGGTTGTTTTGTTCGAATGATTATAAATTTCATTGTTGAATATTGATTTAACAAATCCACCTTTTAAGGCACCTTAAAAGGCCTCTTAAATGGTATATCACCTCAAAGAGATTTATCATCGATTTATCCCCTATCAAATAGAGATTTGTAGCTCATTTCCCCCGCATTTCAATTGAGGAATAAAGTCAAGGTCTTGTCTCAATCCACGCCCCAGACGAGGATTTAGGCCTTACAAGGCTAACCAGATAGAAGTCATCTCCAATTCCAAACTCAATCAAGAACCAGACGATTTTGTTCGATTTTTAAAATATTAACTTTAAACCGAGTTTATTTGTTTTTATTATCATCGTATAATCTTAAGAATATTTTTTAAATGAGATGAAAACAATTTCTTCCAATTTAATTAATCTAATTTTAAAAATGTAATTATATAAAAAGATGAGGAAATGGATGATACATTAAAAATATAAATTAATTTTATATTATTAATTATTAAGTTAGATTAAATATTTTAAAATATCTGTATGAAATTGAAAATGATATATTTTTATGATAGTGTAAATATTAAAAATGGTATATTTTAAATTATTTTTACACTATCGTGTATCTCCATTAAAATATTAAAAAAATTATTTACTTTATAATTACTTTATATCTTAAAATTATTTACACAATTCAATTATATTTTTTATGTTTAAATTTTTTTAATGAAATTTTGATTTCTTTTTGAGATTAATCTTTCATGTTAAACAAAATAATGTCAATGTCGTTGACATGATAATTTTATTTATTTATTTATTTTAAATATTACCAAAATTATTTATTAAATAGTTTAATTTTTTATAATAATAATTTAATTAACGTGTAACTAAATTATTAAATATTTTATTAAATATTTCAATTATTTTATATTTAATAAATTATTTTATATTTAATTGAGAGTTGAAACATTAATAGCTGAAATATTAAATTGTTAAAATATTTAATTAATTAATTAATTAATTATTTAAATAGTTAAAATATTAATATTTAAAATAGTAAATCAGTGAAATATCTAATAAACTAATTATTTAATAAATTAAATAGTTAAAATATTAATATTTGAAATAAACTAAACTATTTAATTTATTAAATAATTACTTTATTAAATATTTCCATTATTTAATATTTTAAACATAATTAAATATTTATTTCATATTAAATAAATTATTTTTGTTTCAACCATATTTAAATATGAAAAAAATTTAGATACAATTTCTTATGTATGGTTTGTATTTTTTTAAATAAAAATATAACTAGTGTATAATTTTTTCTACATGTAATTTTCTCCTATTTTTACTCTCTAAAATATATTTAAAATATTTAAATATATTTGTTATATTTATTACATTTGACTTAAAAGATTTCATATCTTAAATTTATATCCAACATATTTATGAAAATTTCCCTGATACGTATATAAGTAAGTACAAGTGTTCATTAATAAGTTAATTAGTTTAGTAAAGCTATTAATCAAAAACAAATTAAAATGTAGTATATATCTTCAATTGGTTACTTTTTTCTCACGCGGAAAGCTAGTTTGACTATATAGCATTGTTGAAAAAAGTTGTACATCACTTTCTTTTAATGTATATAAAACAAATAATAATTGCAGGATAGCAATTGACGTGTTTTCTTCAATGTGCAATAGAGGTGGCAGGGTAAACTTCTCTCTTGGTAGACGTTAACTTCAAAAGTTTGGCACGAGGACAACAACATATTCTTTGAAAAACTTAAAATATTATTTGGAGATGTATTATTAAACGCATCATAAAAGATAGTTCAGATATGTATATCTGAATAAATTCTTATTTTTGTAAAAAAGAGTGAATTCGAAGTTTTATATATGAAATATGTCATGGTGGCAAGATAAGAATTATTGGATTCAAATTGTTCCAAATCTTTTATAAATAGAATCTCCAAATTATTTCCTCAACATCACACACCACAAATAGAGATAAGCTAAACATATCATCACCTTGTTTTTTTCAACTTCAATGGTAAAATATCGTCACTTCAATTTAGGTTCTCCGAGAACACACCTCTCGCCGAACTGATTACCATACTGAATTCTCTCCTGCAACATTCAGAAAATCAAAAGGTGGTCAAGTTCGAGTATCGTTCACCCTCACTTGACACCGAAGGAAAGATAAAGTTCACCCACTTCACACTGAAGACGGATGACGATTTAAAAGTTATGTGGAGTACTTTTCACCGATACTCTACTAATGGTCGGATTGAAGTGGATACAAAGCTTCAAAGGTCGGGAGAAGATGTTATCAAAATGTTGCAATGTCCTCACCTACCAGTTATAACAATATGTAATGTTAAATTTATGTTTCACTATCTATGTAATTTCGACTATCTATGTTAAATCTATGTTTGGTTGCTTTGGTTTTAAGGTTTTTTATTTTGTTTGGTAATCAGTGTTTATTTCAAATATGTGTGTCCGAAAGCTATCATTTGGTGGCTTCGAATAAACATCTCTGAACCTATTCGATAAAAAACTAAAAAATATGGTGAGTTCAGATATGCATATCCAAATTAGAGAGTATTATGAGAATTTCGCCAAGGACTCATAAAAATCCCTAAGAGTGTATTAAGAAATTCTCATATTTCTTATATGTTTTGGATTATACCAAATTCGGTCCATTATTCAAATATGTCTTTATTTCTTACATTACATGTATTTCTTATATATTTTGGATTAAACCAACTTCAGTCCATTATTCAAATATGCCTTTAGCACTCGTTTATGGAGAGTTGTATTTCTCAGTTTTTCTTCATTTATTAAATTGAGTTCCAGAGACTTATTTGTTTCAATTATATATATATATTAATTCGAATTAGACGTAGGTCATGTAGGGGATCGAGGTTTTCTTTCTAAAAAAAACCTAAACATTATTTTTGACAAAAAAGTTATCCTAGTCAAAGATATAAACTTCGTGATGAAGGCTTAACTCTTGGAAGTAGGGCTTCTTCATAGAAACTTGAGTTCACTAAGGGAACCGACTTTAACCCGCCACACAATATAAACAATTTATTAGGAACCTAATTGTACACCTGCAATAAAGAAAAGCTCGACACTAGGAAAAATATTCATCTTGAAAAGGCTCTTCAGGTAAACATGAATTTGATTGATACCACGAAAAAATAGAAGTAAAGAAGGGGAATTTCAAAGTCCCTTCAAAAGACTAAGTCACTACACTCAATTTGGAGTTTTCGTGAAATGTGTCCCCAAAGAATTCTCTAATAATGAATTCAAATAAAGAGATGTGTATTTCTCCAAGTCAGTCCCAACATGCCTTGAGGTTGACAAAAACAAATTTGTTGATTCTATAATAGAAAAATCCATAATACAAATGATTGCTTCCATCTCAAGGACTACGTCAAACTACTAATCCAAAAAAGGGAAATTAAAATAGTTTACTGGGAAGGGATAAGTTTCATCCAGAGATCAAAAAAATAATTTCATCCTCAAATACCTCGTAGTATCAAATAGATCACTCACTTGCGCAAACTAAGTAAAAAAAAAAAGAAGGAAATTCAAGCAATTACAGAGCATCAATCGTCACTTGGTGACAACCATCAAGGAATCTAATCACATAATTGTAAAAATATTTTTTTTTGAAACAAATTGATGGAAAATGGCACAACACTCTTTCTATGAATTAGGAAGCATAATAAGCTAAAGTGAACACCACCACAAGAAACTTGATTTCTTGATAAGATTAAAACTAGGTCCAATCTAGAACAAAATGAGCACATCACTCAAATTCACACAATGAGTTTGCTTAAAAAAATTTAAATTTTTATATTCATGATTAGCTCCATATTTATAGGTATAAGGTACCTTATTTTCTTTGAAAGAAAAACCCAAAAAAAAAAATCACTAGAAGCTTTAAAATGGTTAAAAACACACAAAAAGAAATAAAGTGTTTTAGGCCAAATTTGGACAAGTTGAATCCTTACAAAATTTATTACAACATGATTAATAAAAATATTAAAATGGGGGCATAAAGTCCACATGTCATGCCCTTTTATTTGTTTGAACCAAAATGACAACTCTTGATCCATTTCCTCTCAA